AGATGGATCCTTAGTAAAAATTTGGCACATAATTGATTCCACCATTTCCATCGCTCTCTGCGTCATCACTATAAACAGTCTGCGACCGAGGAAAGTTTGTGGCGGTTTGAACAAGGGAAACGGCGTGAAGGCGTGCAGCGTAGAAACTTCGGAGGTGAAGAATCAGAAATCAGGAATAGAGCCGAAATCAAACAGGCAGAGAGGGGTCGCTCTTAAAGTAGGTAACAAGAATTATAGGCTTTGGATCGCTCTTTCTCGAGATGAGATTGAAGAAAACTTGTTCAGCATGAGTGGGAACAAGCCATCTCGCCGCCCACGAAAGATAGCCAAAACCTTGCAACAATATCTCGATGTAAGTCACCACCAAGTGTTTGTCGAAATGTCTCACACAAACAAAATTGTGTTTTTGTGTTTAGTCTCTTGGATTGTGTCTTGTGGGAATGAATCTGATTGCTTCAAAGTATCAAATTCTCCAGCTAGGGTCAGCACATTCGCTTTGATCTCACTTAGTTGCTCATTTAGGCTTGGATCAATTTCACTTACTATCTTGATTAGGCTTTAATCAATATACCCTTTTTTGCTACATTGTATGAACTGGATGGAAATTTGGTAATAGAAAGTTTCATACTATGGGTCTTTCAAAGACCCCAAATTTGTAGAGTTAGCTTTACATAATCTAATGGTACTGCTGCTTATGAATTCCTTATGCAGCGATGATCGATCTATTTTACGAGTTTGACAAGGGTGAAAAGAAAAGGTGAAGTCATCTCCTTGATTGAAACTCATCACTTTGATGGAAATGCTAATGTATCACTCATTGTTTGATCTTCATAGTTGTTTGTGGTTTGTTGCAGGGTAGATATGTATGGTGGTGATCAAGATAGGAAGAAGAAGAAGATATAAAACTCAGAGACATGCCCTTGTCTCGTATCAAAACTTAGTATGAACAATTCATGTTGTCAACTAAATGATATGAATATCACTCGATTCACTCCCTTCATGTACATCTTGTTATGCTTGTTATTATTAATTGAAAACCTTCTAAAGACACACTGAAAGCGACTTCACCGTTAGCTTCATCACCACCATTGGGTTTGTTTTCCTTATAAATTCGTCCCCCGAAGAAGAAGAATCAAAATTCTTGGTGGCTAGAGTTGTAATGTTGACATAAGAAGAAAGTCTAATTGTTATGTTTATATGCGTGTATATATTTTATTTTCGTAAATACTAAATAGTCAATTTTCCTAATTTTGTTTGTGGAATTTCTTATATGAATAATGAAACCAGTTTGAAAATCAATAAAAGAACACTACCAATAATTGAGATTCGATTTACAAAATCAAAAGTAAGTCATGTTCATTTAAACATAGGATTTGGGGTTTAGGGTATAGGGNTTGAAAATAACTTTTAGTGTAATTAACAATACAAATATAAATGTAATTTTAGTTTTTTTTTAACTTAAAATCATTTTTTAGTTTAAATTTTTGTATAATTTTAAATCGTGAGGATGTAAGGATTTACACATACAAAATTTTGATAAAGAGTTTTATCTTATATAATAAATGAGTGTTTGTTTTATGGTTGATTTATACTTTATGGATTAGAGTTGACCATTTAGGATTCAA